CAGGAGTAGCTACTACAACATGTATTTGCTCAATCACTGGTGGTTGAGGCGGTTGATTTCTATTTCCATTCGCGTTTCCACTTCGGGTTCTTGCCATTTCGTTCTATACACCAAATCAGACATTCGGTGCGAAACGATGAGAATTAAGATAGGAAAGATTTTATTTACAATCGACGTGTAAATCTCCCTATTACTCCGAAAAGTTACATGCCAGTTCTAATACCGTAATTGAACGTTTAGAAGTCTGAACACATAAAGTTTCCAGATCCGGTTGGCAACAGACCATAGATCCGATCATATAATGCATATCATAAATCATTTAGCACATAAAAGCATGTTAGGCATTTTCCTAAATAAGCTAATGCTTGTGTCTATTTAGGTGTATTACCTAAATTTATTAGACACACTCCTCACGATCATCACTTAGCATTCTAAGTTTAAGTCTAGAAATAAATCTATATTCCTAGTTCGCTTAAACTAATGCTCTGATACCAACTATGACATCCAGAAAAGACCAATTTTGTTTATGCTTTATAAAAATCAGAGTACCTATTTTAATAAAAATGTTGCAGAATTTGTTCCCAGAAAAACATGATAAATACGTCATCAAAGCATTTCCGAAGAAATGTATTTTTCTCCATTTTAAAACATTTGGGATGTCATCGTCAATACAGAAACATAAGCATAAACAGAAATTACATTCATTTACACTAGTGATCTACATCTCTTTTAAATCCCTCAGTGTAAAGTAACGTCATATCGACATCTGTGATACAAATAAGCTTGAGTGGGTCGGGTTGGGAAACCTGGTGAGTACATAGGGTTTTCAACCCACAATAATATAATTATTATGTTAAACATCAAACAATCAACCCAATTACCCATCCCCATTATCTTCTTTACTCTTAAGGATCTACCCTAAGATTCAGTTATTCCTCGTTCATTCATTCCTAAAGAGTATCCTAAGGAATCGACACTAAGTCTGCATAGTCGCCAGGGTTTATCTCGTTTATTGACAGTATCATTTTCGAGAGTCCACTCGTAATACCTGTCAATGGGTTTTTTGAGTACACCAGGTGAACACATCGTTCACAACACCTACAGGTTGCGAGCCTGCTAGTGTTCCACTAGACTGTCTAGAATAGTCTGTGGTTGTCATCCATACTCTGCTAGATGACGGGGCCATCGCTTGGGTCATCGTTTGGCTCATCGTTTTGGCTCATCGCTTAGGTCATCGCTTAGGTCATCGCTTCGCACCATATTTTATCACTCATATGTCATCGCTCATCATTCATCTCATATTTCATCGCTCATCATTTATCTCATCTTTCATCGCTCATCATTTATCTCACCTCTAATCTACCCATGTTTTTCCCAACACATTTTGTAGATATAAAATACATATACAGTTTAGATCATTTAAAACATGTATAAAACGTTTCATTCAGCATAGACAACAAGTATTCCGACAGTATACACACATAGCACGTAATTTATATAAAATACTTCATATCTATGTGTAAGATGAAAGTAACTATGCACTCACCTGATAAGGTGGTGACTTGGTACCCAGACATCACTTCGTTACTCTTAAAACAATTTTCTTTTGACAAAACCTAGTATCATTACCACTAGAGTTTAGTCTAATATTCACCGACACTAATTAATAGTCTAGCTATTATTACTATTATATAAGCGTTAAACAATACTCTTCACCCACTATGTACAGACAGGGGCCAGACATGGAACACCGGAGGGCGGGATCATTTTGGCATATATCACTTCTAAATCCAACAACCCAAGCGGCCCTCCAAACCAGATTCCCCGTACCGCGAGTGGTTAAAAAGATATTATAACGGCACTTATATAATCCATAATAATAGCCCAAATAATTATTATAAGGTCCTAATAACATTACTATATTTAAATAAAAGCTATATTAAATATTGTATAGGCGTAGCTCACTTACAACGGGTTTTTATTAAAAATTGGGCTTCGCTGGAGCAGCGTTTCTGAGCCGAAAGCTTTTCTTCTCGGAGCCGTCGGGCGCTCTGTGGCTTCCTTCTCGTGCTAGGGAGGTTCCCTAGACTTGGGAGGGGTTTAGGGAGGCTAGAGAGAAGTTAGAGAGAGAAAGAAAGGCTTATGGTGTGAAGCAAATATGAAGAGTTCACCCTTTATTTATAGAGATTTTATAGTAAAGTAGCCCCTAAGTTTCGTCCGTATCTTCCGCGTACGAGCTCCGTTTTCTATGTTATTTAAATGTCCGCGTAAAATTCATAACTTTTACATACGGACTCTGTTTTCGTCTGTCTTTTTGTCGTTGATTTCCTATTAATGAGATATTCAATTCTCATTTAGGTCGCGTTGGCCAAAAACCGCTCGATCTAAAATTCGAATTCCGAGTTGTGCACTGCTATGCCAAATCTTAGAAAAATCATAACTTCCTCATACGAAGTCAGATTTGGGCGTTCTTTTTATGTACACTCTCGGTTTAACGTATACTATGACTTTTGTTTAGATTGCTAAGGCTAAAAAGTCTTCTATCGTAAATTCACTATTTACGTCGCGTTGTGTCGTGCCGGTTTTGCCGAAAAACTTCGACGGGCCATAACTTCTTCGTTATAACTCATATTTCGGCGTTCTTTATATGTACGGAACCCTTGTAACATATACTATAAAATGGTTAAGATTAATCCTTCTAAATAATCTTCCATCAAAACTCATTTTTTGATGCTCATTGTCTCTAAATTGACTAGCCCGGATCTACAGGCATTACAACTGACATGGCTCTTCCATCGGTGATCTACCGCTCCCTCTTAGTTTCAGATTCCCATGCTTTGATTTGAAAGCCCTAGCTAGTGATGAATTCCCATGAAGAAAGGACTATTGAATTCCTCCTCCCTTTAGTCCAGTTTGAACCCGTCCCAGGAACGAACACTTTCCTACTGCAAGGCTTTGCTTTGCCCTTCCACTAGAATCCACTCCGTGTCGGAGGAGCAACTAATCCAACTTCCTCTTTTCGATAGTAGAAGGGAAGCTCGTCCTCTTATTTTTTGTGTGAATACTCAACTTCGTCAGTCTAGTTGAATAGCCTCCCAATGAGAGCGAGCCAAGACTTTGCTTGCTGTTTGTGTTTGTCCTCCACAACTGCTCAACCAACTGCTAAATCATGGGTTCTAATCCCATTTCCTCCTGAAACAACCCTTCAACTAGTGAATTAATTTACTTGCCTAGTGCTACTCCTCTTCCATAGAAGACTTGCTAGAATAGCTTGCATGGAGAGCTACCACCTTTCTCTTTTGACTTTGCTTCGGGTAAACTAACTTTAGTCTATATCCTTCTACTAGCCAACTAGGAGTTAGAAAAGGTCGCCCTTTTGTTAAAATTCCTTATCCTCTCTTTCAGATTTCAGACCCTTGTCTTTGATTTCTGCCAACAGATCTTTACTATATATCCAATCTTGGATCTTGGACCGACATCATTCCCATTTATATCATCAAATATAGGTAAGGCCAACCCGCCCCTTCATCATTTCATTTTTGTAATGAGAATATATATTGGTACGAAGCGCAAGTACTTAGCTTAGAGTGGCCTTCTCCTGTTCATCAACTCTAACCACATTCTTCTGCAGTTGATGTTACGGATCAACATCACACTTCAAGCCAACAGCTTTGCTCAGCATCTTCTACCGACTATCAGCCTGTTCAGCTGACCTCCTCTCGGCCTCTTTAATGCCTAAAAAAGATCTGTCTTATCTCAAGCATGTGAAAAGCCCTATCCCATCTAGCAACAAAGTTATTTCCAAAAGCTCCCACTATGACTAAAAACCTCCCAATAGGATTTGTTTACCATAATACAAAACAAAATGTCTAATTTTTGTGGGTAACGACCCAAGTGGATCACAATCTTCATGAGTCATCATTTTGTTAGCGATATACATGTTGGGTTTTTGGTATAATACAACATCCTATGGTGCACATACAACCCTAAATACCTTGGATCTATGTTTTCTCTATTATATGTGCAAATATGAAGTTTCCAAGGTATTACCCTATACTAGCATACAAATATCATATACTACACAAGAATCTAGTTAGGATAACATACCTTATGGTGGAGCATGAAGTCTTGATGTATCTAGCCTTAAGAGCTTAGCCCCAATAGTGTGGAAGCCTCAAGTGGAATCACAACACACCATGGGCAAAGGATGAACTTGAGAGAGAATCTCCATGCACCCAAAAACACCCATGAACTCCAAGAACTTCATGTGTAACCACAAGTGGCGTTTTTAGGTCATGATGCATGTATTTATATGTGTGGTATTTCAAGAGTCATGGGTATAACCCAAATCCATACCCATGGGTTTTATGATCCATGGTTCATGTGGCCCAACTCTTTATGTATCCATACATAAACTTGGTCCAACATGGATCATAAGCCCAACACATATAAATATAACTAATTAACATAATTAGTCCCCATAGAGTTAATTAGTCTCTTTTGATCACTAAATTAATTCCAAATTAATTCTTGATCAATACTAGTTAAAAACATATGATTTCATATTAATATATTATAACTTATAATATATTAATAAACCATAAATAACATTCTCTCAAAAGTCCATCCTAACAAATTGTCCTGATGATATGCAACCCAAATGGATCATGCTACTCTCGGGTCAAGTACATACCAATAATAGTTATGGACTTAGACATCTAATCCAACAATACATATCCCATCTAACACACATTAATCATAATGATAATCCATCACACACACACACACACACAAAGAGAGAGAGAGAGAGAGAGAGAGAGAGAGATGGTATGATATACATGGGGCCATAGTTTAAGTCCAACAAGTTGGAGTTGAACTATTGATAGACTGCGCGTTGAACTGCCATTAGTAAAATGAGTGTGTTTCAGCTATAGATGGGACCATTTTTCTCCCTTTAGCAAAGTATATGAACATAGCCTTGGTGCGACGTGAAGTTTGTCATGATCACGAACAATGATACAAAAAGAGCTCGATTCGACATGGCTTTTTATCAAAGGCTTGTTCCCACAACGATACATACTTATAGTGTGGTAGTGATCAAGCTTTTTGTAAGTATATTTAATACATTAATTATTAACTTGATTAGAAAAAAAAGCCTAAACAACAAAGTTTGAAAACAAAAGAAAGAGTCTAGAACTATTTTGGGTACAATGTGAAATTTCTTTTTTGAAAGAGAATTTTTTTTTTTTGAAAGAGACAATGTGAAAATTGTATAAACTTAGGGTGCTTCGGCCAAAACCTAAAATTAAAAAAATAATAATAATAATAAAATGAAAAACATAAAAGCGAAGAAAGCTTGGGGAACAATAAAAATTCGGACGTTTTATGTATATATTCACCCCTCAGTAATCAGTATGCCAATTTCCGATTCTTCAGCTCAATTTAACTTTGCTTCTTTCAGATCCGCGTTAAGGTCAGTTCTTAATCCCCTTTGTGATATTATCTATTCATCACACCAATTAAATTTTGTTCACGATTTGCTTGCCGATTATGGAGTATGGAGGAAGGAATCGAAAGGATATATCAACCCTAAGTCCAACCACGAGTAATATATTATGTTAATGCGATTGTTTAAGCTCCACCCTACACCTTCTCTAAGACGTTTTGAATGGATTCTGGAATTTGATTCAAAACCCTAGTTTTTTATATATGTTTGGTGGATTACTGGATTTGCAATTAGTTTAATGTAGGTTTAGTCTGATTTGGTATTTGTTGGAAACTTCGGGTAAGATGTCATAAGAACATCAACCTGTATAATTGTTTTATTAGAGTTTGATTTCTTGAAAGATTGGTGTTACTTCTTAAATTATGTTAGTTGAAGATTCATTATCACGTACATGTAGAAGAGGGGTTCATGTCTATGTATGGAACCTGGTTAGGGATTTAAGCCATTTGAAAGTTTTCTCAAAATTTTGTAAACCAACAAGATATTCACATAGCAATTTCAATAATTTCCTTTAATCACAATTTATTAGACTGCTAGAAGCCTATGTAGTCAATTATAACAAAAGGCATACATATTCTAGACATTTGGAATAGACCTTTTTTTGGCTTTTTATTCTTTATGATTGAAATGGATGATAGTGAAGGTAGAGGATGAGTTGGATGATGAAATTAGTCTATAAGGTTTAAGCCCTGTTTCTTATTTATCATTAAGTATAGTCTGGATAACAACTTAAAGGGGGAATGTCTTCTTTTACCTGATTCTCTTTATTAAGTCATTCTATCTAACATTAAGTTTCTAATAAACACAGATTCTTTCTTGCTTATTATTTACATGTAGATTTGTGTTGCTCTTTGTTATGCTTATTCATTCTTTCTATTTCTTTAATTTCTGAGACAACTTTCAAATTTGACACATTCTCTTTTACATTGTGCCAATGAACTGTTCTTTTTATAGGGTTAAATGCAAGAAATAACAGCTTACTTCCATTTATTTGTTTATTATAGCCTCCTACTTTCATTTAAAAGTACAATGTTGTAATAAAAATAAATGAAAGTAAGATGCTATAATAAACAAATAAATTGAATTCGTTGTTCTTTCTTGCATTTAACCCTTTTCTATATTAGAGTGATTGAGTAAATTAAAATTCAGGTCCCTGTATTATAGTGCTTTTCACAAAATTCGCCCTGAAAAATTTTCTTTCTACTTTTATCATTCCTGTGTTTTCATTTTGTTTTGAATATGGTCCTTAACGCATAAGTCATGAAGCATGACCATTTTTCCCCTTAGATACTACAATAAACAAAATAAGTTACAATTTTGGTCCCTGTGTCATAGTGGTTTTTACAGATTTGGTCCCCAAAAGATTTCTCTCACTTTTAAGCTCTCCTTGGTTTCATTTTGTTTTGAATATGGTCCCTTACAGATAATAAAATGACTATTTTTCCCCTTAGATGCTACAATAAACAAATAAGTTCAACTTTGGTCCCTGTGCATAGTGGTTGTTACAGATTTAGTCCCCAAACGATTTATCTCAAATTCAAGCTCCCTTTGGTTTCATTTTATTTTAAACATTGTCCCCCCTACACATAATAAAATGACTGTTTTGCCCCTTAGATGCTACAATAACCAAAATAAGTTACAACTTTGGCCCCTATGCCATAGTGGTTTTTACAAATTTAGTCCCCAAACGATTTATCTCACATTCAAGCTCCCTTTGGTCTCATTTTATTTTAAACATTGTCCCCCAACACATAATAAAATGACTGTTTTGACCCTTAGATGCTACAATAAATAAGTTACACCTTTGGTCCCTATGCCATAGTGGTTTTTACAGATTTAGTCCCCAAACGATTTATCTCACATTCAAGCTCCCTTTGGTTTCATTTTATTTTAAATATTGTCCCCCAACACATAATAAAATGACTGTTTCGCCCCTTAGATGCTACAATAACCCAAATAAGTTACAACTTTGGTCCCTGTGCATAGTGGTTCTTACAGATTTACAGATTTGGTCCCCGAAAGATTTAATCTCACTTTTAAGCACATGGTCCCTACCACATAACCCATGTACTAAAATGACTATTTTGCCCTTAACAGATGTCTCGAAGGTACGACAGCCGAACAACCATCTTCTCCCCGGAAGGCCGCCTCTACCAAGTGGAATACGCGATGGAAGCCATCGGAAACGCAGGGTCCGCCATCGGAATCCTGTCAAAAGACGGTGTTGTCCTCGTGGGAGAAAAAAAAGTAACCTCAAAACTCCTCCAAACCTCCACCTCCACCGAGAAAATGTACAAAATCGACGACCACGTTGCCTGTGCAGTCGCCGGAATAATGTCGGACGCCAACATCCTCATCAACACCGCCCGTGTTGCCGCCCAACGCTACACCTTCTCCTACCAAACCCCAATGCCAGTCGAACAGCTCGTCCAATCACTATGCGACACCAAACAAGGCTACACTCAATTTGGCGGCCTCCGCCCTTTCGGGGTGTCGTTTCTGTTCGCAGGGTGGGATAAGAACTACGGGTTTCAGCTTTACATGAGTGACCCTAGCGGGAATTATGGCGGTTGGAAGGCGGCGGCGGTTGGGGCGAATAATCAGGCGGCTCAGTCCATGTTGAAGCAGGATTATAAGGAGGAGATAAGTCGGGAGGAGGCGGTGCAGCTGGCGCTTAAGGTGTTGAGTAAGACGATGGATAGTACGAGTTTGACGGCTGAGAAGTTGGAGCTGGCGGAGGTGTTTTTGGATGATGGTGGGAAGGTGAAGTATCAGGTTTGTTCGCCGGAAAATCTTGGGAAGATGTTGGTTAAGTATGGTGTCACTCAAGCTCCGGTGGATACCTAAAGTGTGAGCCACGTGGCATTGAGATTCTGTTCTTTGGTTGTAGACTTGTTTTGGATTTATTTAATTAAGTTGGATGTTTGGTGATAAAACTTATGATAAGATGTTAATTTGATGTTGAAACGAAAAAAATTTATGATTTGATGTTTTTATCGGTTTAATTATTTTGTTAGTTATGTGGTGATTAAAATGATCATATGTTAACTTTTCTCTTCTAAATGTAATCTAGAAAAATGGGCTTTTTTTAAGTGTAATAAAAAGGTATATGATTTAATTGCTATATAAACAATTGGTTGTGTAAATGAACAAAAATTGTGTAACAGAGTCAATCCAAATCACCTCTATAAATCACCTCTATGTATTCAGGTAGTCTTGATCTTTACAATGAAGTGTTACATAATTTGAATTTGATATAAATTTAGCGTAAAAATTTGAGCTAAAGCCTAAATGCAAGAAAGTGCGATGCATTTTCATTTAAATTAAAATTTCTAAGTATAAGACTTCATACAAAATGATTTTAAAAAGTTTTCACTACCTAAGTATATTTATATATTTAGGCAACTTACAATGTATTTACTGTAATACATATAAAAAGAAAAACCTTGAGAAATTTTCAGAAAATTTTCAATATTTTTGTTTGATTTATGAAAAAATAAATTTTTTTGTGAACAAAAAGGTTTGGATTACATGATAAAAAATTCTAATCACCCTTTTTTCACTGGTAAATTATTTTTTACCCGGTTACCTTCAGAAAATTTATTTTATTTTGGCCCAGTTTATGAAAAAAATCCTAAAATTTTATTTTCTTCAGCTCTTTTACTCTTTCAAAATTTTTTTTGGAAGTTCTAAAAAATTGCATGGTTTTAACTATTTGTTACACTCTTAGAACTAATTTCTATGATGTAAATGAAAAAAAAAACATTGTTGACCGTACAAACTAGGTCGAGAGCAAGTCCATCATTGCATCACTTGACATAATATAAAATCACAATGTTATATATTGGTATGCCATCTAAAACACAACTTCATTTTAAACTATTTGGTGCAAAGCTTTCCATGGAGGATGACTTGATGACTTGGAATACCCATTTATACATGTAGCCAAAATACCTTATGACTTAAGTAGGTTGTAGCTCCTTTATATAATGTAGTCATATTCAATTGTAGAGTAGAGCTCCTATTTGTATGATCCTTAGATAATAAATAGGATAGATTGGTTACACATTAGATTAGATATTCCACATGTTAAATTAGTTCTTTTTATTTATTATTATTATATTTTAATAATTAGTATTAAAGACATGCCTTGAAGGTCCAAGTAATTGGTTCAAGGAACAATATCAATTTGACGACTTTTATCCATAATCATTTAAGATTCGATAATTTTTCAGTGAGTCTCTCAAAGTTTTCTTAGAGTCGTATTCTTATTGTTGATATATTGTTCATCGTATTTTGTTTTAGATCGGATCTGAAAATCACTATTCAATCCTAATTGTTAGCCCAAAAATCAATCTAATTCTTTTGATCCAGTTCATTTTCTTTTGATTTAGCCTAATAGTTTGATATGCCGTTGTTCATCAAAAGCGTGACTGTTCTCGTTTCAAAGTCAAATTGGTTCACTTCTTCACGTCTTGGATTGAATCCATACTTCATGATAGTTTTGTAATATTGATTGTAAAATTCAATTCGATTCGTGATGCTTTTTAATTTTCTGGATTATTTTGTTAGAAGACTTGATTGGTTCATCTATTTTTTGTTTCTCTCCATCGATTCACAATCAAAAGTCAATTACGATTTGCTTTTAATTGGTGTTCTTTGATGTTAATCGATGAGTTTAAGCTTAAATAATTTGGGACCAAATTTGATTGTTATTGGGATTAATTGGAAGATTGATCGAAAAGAGTTGTTGAAGAAAAACCGATGTTAAAGAGCATTGCTTAAATAATTTGGGATCAGATTCGGTTGTTACGATCATGACGTTTTAGAGCTCCAAAATTTGAATTATTGACATGTGAAGTAATTTTGATTCATGGAGGAATTGTTCATATATGCTTAAGATTGAAGGATAAAACTTATGCTCTTCTCTAGAATCCATATAACCTCACCTAAACCTACTATTGTATTGATTAGTTTGTCATCGGTCAAATGGTTTCTTATATGAACATAATAGTTGGTTTTCCTTTAACATACTTTTAGGTAGATTGTAATAAGGTGTTCAACACATAATTTGAATATCATATAATACTTGTAACATAAATTTGTATGAAAATGGATTATATAAACGATGATGAGTTCAAAATGAAGCTAACATCATTGTTTTATGGCAAATAATTGGTTATAGAGGATTTTGATCCTTAGTTTTACGGAGTATAATGCATTTATTACTATTCATAACTTGAACCAACAAAATTTCAGATTTTTAGTGAAATAGTAAAAAGAGTTAAACTAAAAAAAATGAGAATTTTTTCATAATTTTGACCAAAATAATGTGACTTTTTTGGAAGTAACAGGGTAAAATATATTTTACCAGTAAAAAAAGGTTGATTTGAATTTTTTGTCCGGTAATCAAGACTTTTTTATTAACAAAATAAAATTTGGAACTTCATAAAGATGACTAAAATATTAGGATTTTTCTGGAGACTTCCCAAAAAATATTATATGAATGATTTAACTTTAATTTGGTAGATTTGTCATAGTCCATTGATATAATACTATAATGAAAACTGATGAAAATAGTATTCTTTAAAAGAAAATAAAATCGATCCATCGTTTTTACATCGGCCAATCAGTTTAATATAACACTACTTTATAAAGGTTATTATAAGTCCCAAAAGAAACTTTCTAAATGGGAAGCAAATTTCTTGTCAATTATATTGGCGGTACACTCACACTTATCAAGTCCGTCGACATATCTCTCACTTTCTAGTTTCTACTTCATCTTTTCATTTTAAGCCCCACTAAAATTTTCAACATCCTTGAAAGTATTAGACAAAATGTCTTTTGGGTTGTCCAAGATCATAATAAAAATGTGTGTTGGATTAAATGGAGCATTGCTTTTGGGAAAAAATAATGATGGATGGTTGCGAGGGGCGGACGCAAGATTTTACAGTAGGGGTTGCACGGGAGAGTTAAGGGTTGCACAGTAGTAAAAAAAATAAAATTTTCGAAAAATTTTCCAATGCGGCCGGAAAAGTTAGGGGTTGCCGGTGCAACCGTGGACCACCCCTAGGTCCGCCATTGGTTGCACATTGGTAGCCTTATTGGAGCGAACAATGATATCCTTGCAAGATGGAAATGGAGATTTTTGTGTGAAGGAAACTCAATGTATTACTTAGAGAACAACATAACGTGCAACGTGGCAGACAAAGTCACATTCATATAGGTAAAATTAGGAGTACTCAGTGTGGTTCCCTTCTAAATGAAAGCATCTATTTTGGGTATTCCATCATGAATCAATTATAAAATTTACATAGCACAAACATTAATATCAAAATCACATGTACGAAGATGTTGTTCAATATATAAAGCCAAAATCGAGTTATGATTCTGAATCGTTAGCACATTCATACTCCATTTTAATGCATGGGTTCATCTAACTGCATGAAAGAAATCAACAATTATTCAAAAATTCTAGTATATCTCTCCCTCTTGATTGTTTATTATTGAAGTTCTGACATATCTTTATTGCATGAAAAATGAAAGGACGCTCAAACATTTTTAACTTTTAGTTAACTTTGATATAAACCATTAATTTATTTTAAACAATGAACTTAACGAAAACATGGTTGCTTTAATCTATTTCCATCTTAATTAATGATTTTAAATAACTAGAGTAAATTAGAGAAGTGGTCTCTGTGGTTTTTTGAATCAAGTCCGGTTGTTTCAATTGTAACCCTCGTAGTACCTAAATCATCTTTTTGTCGCCATTTTGGTCCCTGAACCTACCTGACGTTTAAATTTGGAAGTTAAAACCAAATAAAATTACTTTTATACACCTGATTTTATCTTTAATCATCCGTTATTAATTTTATTAATATTAAATGTTTGATCCTACAAGACCCACCACCGACTACCACTCCCTCCACCCTTCCATCTCCCCATTCACGAGCAGCTCAGGCTTCTCAGCCTCAAGCCTCCCCATCTCCACCAGCTCAAGATGTCTATAACCACCACCTGTCATCTTCTTGAAGAAACCTGTTTCTGTTTTCTATTTGTTCCAAATCGAAGAAACCTACAATGATGTAATTAAGATGTAATAATCAACTATACCTGTTAAATTTAATAAATATAAAAGAGAGGGTATATATTACAGGAATTTCAGATGGTTTTAACGGCCTAAGCTGGATGCCAGCAACCCAGATAAGTGACAAAAAAAATATTTTAGGGACGATTACTTTTACAATTATAAAAACTGGACTTGCTTCAAAAAAACCACATAATCACCGGGACTATTTCTGTAATTTACTCAAGTAGTTTTGGTTAACATGTACTTAAGGAGCCATTGGTCATTCAGTGGAAAGACACATTGAGAGGAGCTTGTTCCTTATTGCATTTCATTTATATACTTAATTACTTACGGCGTTTCTCATGGAAGGGGTACAAAGTAGCAAAGTAGCAGGATGTATTCGAGTTGGAAAATGGGGAAAACAAAGTGGAGGTCCTCAGAATGAGTGGTCTTTTGCACTTGAGAAAGATCATAAACTGGTGAAGATAACCATTGACCATGGTGAACTAATATACTCTCTCATGTTCACAACTAAATGTGGAGGTGTTTTGCATAATTCCAACAAGTTTGGTGGTTGGAATGGTGGAGACACAGTTTCTGAGGTGAGTTGATCTCTTATTCTCTTTACTCCACTAATCAATACGTAGCAAATCTTTTTATTAATCAATATTTGGTGGATTGATTAATCAGGTACACTTTGAAGGTGATGAGGAAATAACTGAGGTTGGTGGAGCCATTGGTAATCGAGAGGGTAATCTAGTAATTACATCGCTATCTTTTAAGACAAACAAGAGGACATATGGACCTTTTGGTTGTGCAACTGAAAATGTTTTTTCTTTACCATGGCACAAAGGCTCATTAGTTGGGTTTTATGGGCTTGCTGGCTATTATATTGATGGCATTGGTGTGTATCTTAAAGCCTATGAGAATATCATACGGGTTGGAACATGGGGAAAAA